ACTTTGGCCTTTTTGGAAACACAGGAAGGAGCAATCAGCTAAGTGGAAAAAATCTTTCATTCCTTTAGAGACAGCATGAAAAGTCAGCTGAGTACAAAACATAGAGAGGAAAACAAGAAGAAAAGGGACAAGAAGAGAGGGACACAACCTAGAACAGATAATGGATGTCTATTCTATTAACATTTCTACATCTGGAGAATGGGGCTGTTTTATGTGCTGTCTTCTCCATTCAGAGGGCCCCCTGCCTGTCTTTGCCTAGGGCCCCAAATTTCCCAAATCCGCCCCTGAGGGTACACCAAGCTCCCCTCCCGCGTTTTGATTATTTGAGAAAATAAAGAAAATTGAAAACCACAGCTTAATGGAAAATTAGCAAAAATATTTTTTTTCTGAAATATTTATTGGTCATTAAAAAGAAAAAAGCTTCAGAATAAAAAGAACGAGGAATGGACTGAACAGGTCCAAAGAAGCACCTAGAGGGGAACCATGCGGGGGTCTGGGTCAGAGGCCTCCCTCTGGCCGGTGCTTTTATTTTGAAGGGCGGGGCCAGACTTTCCCGCCCTCCCTCCATCTTGGCGCAGCGGAGCCTCATCGGAGGCAGCGGATCAATCCGGAGCTTCGGCGGCTGATCGGGATTATGCGGCAGCGCTGATCGCCGCTCGGTGAGTAGCCGCTGCTGCCGCATCGGAACCGGAACCGAGCCGTGGGTTCGGTCCACGGCTTTCCTCGGCTCCGTGCCCCCCACCCCCCTGCCTTTGTTCCCTTGCGCCTCTTTTTGCGGCTCTTTTTGCGCCTCTGCAGGGTCTGTGACTAACGGCTCTGCGGGAGGAATCTACTTTCCGCCGTTTCTCTGCGGCGCGTGGCGGCCACACGTTGGGTTGCAGCGGCGGGGTTTTTTTTTTGGAGGAACTGCGTGACCTCTGGATGATGGACCTCTTCATCATCCTCAGCAACCAAAACAAACAGCGGGTCCCGCCGGAGCTCTGAGATTTGGCCGCCTGGGGGCGCTGCAGTTAGGTCAGGGCCGGTGCCACCACCGAGGGGAACCAGGGCCCATTCATCAAGGGGCCCCCAGGAACCTGGTCCACATGTGGTTCCCAAGAATCTGACTGAAGGGCAGAACAAATCAGAACCTTCTGGAGAATATTTCAGCATAGATATTTCCACCTAGATTAAACAATTTAAAAAATATAAATAAATAAATCGTTTCGGCTTGGAACTGGTCGCTGCCGGCGTTCTGTCAGACCAGTCGACCCATAGTCAATACGCATGCATCTATCCCACTGATCTCTAATTATTCACTGGATTGCTGATTGTCAGAAAAAAGTGAAGCCACCGTCCGCCATCTTGGTACTCCCCACTCCCACAGGGACCTCCCTGTTTAGCATTTAGCTGCTAAAACCAGCAGTTTTCTGTCTACTGACGCTATGAAACAGCCAGTCTGTGTCAAAGAGATGAATTTATCTTTATTTTA